GCCGCAGCTGCCCCAGCACGTAGCCCACCTCGTGGCGGAAGAGGGCGCTGCCGCAGCGCAGGCCTGCGGACAGAGGACAGCGCGCTGCGGCCTCCTCCCCGGGCCCAGGGACCCGCCAGCCCCCGCCTCCCGCCTCCCCCGGGGCCCGCGTGCTGCACCGGGGTCGTGAGCTGGGGAAACTGAGGCCGGGAGGCGGAGACGCCCTGCCCGCGATCAGACGCCACCTGTGAGGCAGAGCCGGGGTCTGAGCCCAGCCCACCTGCCCGCGCAGCCCTGCCCTCCAGCATCGCCCCCGACGAACCCAGCACGCAGCCCCTCTGCGCGCCGCCGGCCTCCCCCGGTCCCCTGGGATCCTGCCCCGGCCCGGGGCACGGCGGCGGCCGGGCATCTCCCTGTGGGCCAGGAGTGGGCGCACCATGGCATCGGGGCGCAGGGGACCACAGGATCCCCAAGTCCCCTCTGCTCCTTTGCAGTTGGGGGAACCGCGCGGGCCAGCGAGGCAGCACGGGGCGCCCCGCAGAGCTGGGATGAAATGACCCCGATAATAATAACGGAAGAGGTTCAAGGGCGCTGGGCTCGGATCCCAACTCTGCTGTTCGCCCAGCGCTGTGTGACCTCGGGCAAGTCTCTGTGCCTCTCTGGGCCTCGGCTTCCCCATGGAGGACTGGGGATAACGAGGCAGCTCGTGGAAAGCCGAGGGGAAGCGCTGAGGCTGGGCCCTGGGTGCTCTGTGCTCCATGTCACGGATGCAGCCCTGAGCCTCCCCCGGGGCGGCAGTGACCGTGACCCCACCCCGGGGCCCCTCCTTACCCTCGGCCAGCGCCAGGGCGGCCTCCTCGCCGCCGGCGTTGCGCAGGGCGAACATGGCTCTGTAGCGGTCGAAGAGCGGCCGGGCCTCGTCGAGCAGCACCTCCCGCAGGCGCCCCACGTCCTGCTCCTCGGCCGGTGGGGCCGGGTCCACCGAGAGGTAGGGCCCCACGGGCGCCGGCTCCCCGCCGCGCTGCTGCAGCCACTCCAGACGCCGCACGGCCAGCTGGCACGTCTCAGCCACCTGCGGGAGGGGCGCGCAGAGCTGTCGGTCCTGGGCCGGCAAGGGGGACACAGCCGTGGGCATGATGAACCCCCTTCTCCACCCTCCGGGGCTCGACGGTTAGCTGGGGTGAGATGACAGACTCAGGAACTCACTAATTATTCCGGATTGGAAATAAACCAGCAGGGGCTGATGGGATTAGGGAGTGACGAAGGGCTCAATGTGGAAGTAACGTCAGAACCAAGGGAGAGCGGGAGCCGGGTGGAAACAGCCTGTGCAAAGGCCCTAAGGCAGACCCATGCCTGACACATCAGGGAAGAGAGAGCAGGCTGAGCGGGAGCAGACAACAGGGGTGACCTGAGGTGGTCGGGCCAGACTATTAGGGCCTGTGGGCCACGGTGAGGACGTGGGACTCTGTCCTAAAGGAGATGACAAACCACAGAACAGGTCAAGAGACTTAAGCATTACGTACGTCCCCTGGCTGCCAGAGGGGGGACTAAGGGTGGGACGGGGGGGTGGTCGATAAGGCAGAGGGCAAGTGAGAAATAACACACGCGTCCACACGAGGACTTGCATGCGCATGTGCACAACAGCCAAAAGGGCAGGAACAGTACAAACGCCCTCAGCTGATGATGGATCCACACGTGTCTATCCACACACTGGAACATGACGCAGCCGTGAAGAGGAGTGAGGCCCTGACACAGCCACACCGTGGACGGACCCTCAACACACGATGCTCAGTGAGAGAACCAGACACAGAAGGACAGACGGTGTGTGATCCCATTGATGTGAAATGTGCAGAACAGGCACATCACAGACAGAAAGTGGGTTCCTGGTTGTCAGGGGCTGGGGAGGGCATGGGAGTGACTGCTGATGGGGACAGGATTCCGTTTTGGGGGATGGAATGTTCTGGAACTAGATAGTGGTGATGGTTACACAACTCTGGATGCACTCAAAACCACCTAAGTGTACACGTTCAAAGGGTGAAGTCTACGGTATGTGACATATCTCAATAAACCCGTTATTTAAATAAAAAAGAAGTAACGGCGGCAGGGAGACCCCAGAAGAGGTCGGGGCAGCGGGGGCGGAGACAAGGGGGTGGGATGGGGGGATCCTGGCGGAGGGTGATGAGGAGCCAACCTCGCCTCTCTCCCAAGTCTCCCGCCTCCCTGGGGAGGCGGTCACCCTGGCAACCAGACACAGGGTCTGCGCTGGGCCAGGCGGGGCGGGGAAGGGCTGGTGCTGGGACCCCCGATGGGCGGGGGGCCGCGTTACCTCGACGACAGGGTCGCTGGCGTACTGCTGCAGGATCTCCAGGACTGCCGGGTCCCCGATGGCCCCCAGGGCCTCCCCTGAGAAGAAGCAGGCAGAGCCCCCGTCGGTTGGCTGGGAAACGTCCTGGATGCCCCGGGGACCAGCGACGTCCCCTCCTTCGTGCTGCCCTCCCCACGGCTCTGCCCATGCTGTGCGGTCCCCCGGCCCTGATGGATTGGAGCAGGAGGGGGTACAGCCCCCACTGGCCCATCAGAGGCCCTGCCCCAGAATCTGCACTCGACTGGAACTGGGCTGGCACACAACCCGGCCCACGCCCCCAGAGCTCATGGCCCAGACGGGGAAATGCAGACAGCATGTCATGACAACCTGGGGACACAGGTGACAAGAAGCTCTAAAAACATCTGGAGGAGTGGGAGAGCCCCCTGGAGGAGGAGGTTTTAAGCTTCAATGTCGGGGACAAGGCTCAGCTGACCACAGCAGGGCTTGACCTAAGGCCTCTGGGTGAGAGGGGACAGCACGTGCCAAGGCCCTGAGGCGGGTGGAGTGGGGTCACCAGCAGGCAGTGGCAGGCGTGCAGAAACTGGGTGGACCCAGTCAGCAGGTGCTGGACTGGGCAGGGCCTTGTGAGCCACACGGAGAAGCCTGACCGTTTCCCGTGGGCGCAGATGGGTGCTGAGCAGGGGAGAGACCCGAGGCCTCCTTCGGTCAAGTCCTCGTGCTTTGCAAGATGGCGGAGGATGCTGTTGCCCGCAATTGAGAACACCCTCCTGGAGCTGAATCTGGGTCAGGTCCCCCTCCTCTGCCCACAGCCCTCCAGGGCTCCCACCTCCCTCGGGGGAGAAGCCTCCCCGAGGCCCCCCAGGCCCTGCACGACCTGCCCCGTCCCCTCCCCGCCCTCCCTCCTCCCTCTCTCCCCCTCCTCCCTCTGCTCCAGCCACACGGGCCTCCTTGCTGTTCCTCCAATGCACTGCGCCTGGTCCTGCCCCAGGGCCTTTGCACGGGCTGTGCCCTCTGCCTGAAGCACATTTCCACAGCTACTTCCCCCAGGTCTCTGTCCACCGATTAAAAACGGCACCACCTCCGGCCCCCGCATCCCGTCCTCTGCTTTATCATTCTCCTTGGCGCTTATGTCAGTGTTTCCACAACACGGCCGGGCGTTCTGCAAAATCACACGCTCAAAATAGCAGAGCTTCGGGGAAGAGCGGGGTTTGGGGCAGAATGTGCTTTGTAAAGCAAGCTCCAGCACAGATAAACAAAGGGATGATATTTTACGACACGTGAAGTTCAGATCTCAGCGCCCATGAAGGTGTACCGGCCAGGCACGCCCGTCTGTCACGGGGTGTTTGGCCCCGGCCCCGCACTCACCCGCCTCGTGGCGCACCATGGGCTCCTGGCGGGGGTCCCGCAGCACGCCCACCAGCACGGGGATGGCCCGCGCGTCCTGCATCTGGCCCAGGCAGTAGGCCAGCTCGTGCTTCAGTAGTGCCGAGTCGTCGTCGAAGGCCCGGCTGATCCAGGCGATGGCGCTCGGGCCGCCGAGGCCGCGCAGCGTGAAGAGCGCCCGGAAGCGGGCGTGCAGGGGCTGCGCCGGGTCCACCAGCGCCCGCCCGATCGCCTCCACCTCCTGCTCCGTCACCATGGCGCCGCCTCCCTGTGCCCCCGGAGCCACCGGAACCTGCGGAGGGAAACAGAGGCAGGTTAGAAGGTACACGACCAAGCCAGCTCCCTGCCCGCTCACTGGCTGGTTCCTTTCCGTCCGGCCCTGGGCGGGGGGTTTCTGGGTGGAAAGCCCGCTCCGGCCTCGCCTACTTGCTGTGTGGCCTTCTGTAAGTTCCTTTCCCTCTCTGGGCCTCTCGCCTGTACATCGGCAGTGACCTCAGCTGGTCTGCTCTCCACACAGCAGCCAGAGGGACTGTGGCAACTGGTCCCCTAGATGACCCCAGTGACCCCCACCTCCCGGTATTCATGTCCTGTGCAGCCCCTCCCACCGAACCCGTGTGAACAATGGGATATGGAAGAAATGAGTGCGTTTGGAGGGTAGGTCGTGAGAGGCACAGGGGCTCGCTCCTCCCTCTCTGTGGGGAGGCTCAACCGGCCTTATCTACACCGCGAGGAACCGAGGCCTCCCGCCAACAGCCAGCAGAGAGTGGCTCCTCCGGCCCCGGTCCAGCCTTCAGATGACGCAGCCCCGGCCAACGTCTTGACTGCGACCTCCCGACAGATCCGAGCCAGAACCACCCGCTGAACCAGGCCCGGGTCCCTGGCTCACAGGAACTGTGGGAGAGAGTGCTGACTGCTGTTAAAGCTGTTAAATATGGGCAAATTTGTTACTCAGCACGGGTAACGGATACAGGAATCCTTTCAGTTTATGAACTGGACATTTGATTCCCTTGCAAAATCCTCCTATGGCGCCTCATTACTCCAGACTCCTTGATGGTCCCCAAGGCCCCAGCCCCTCCTCACTCTCACTTCCTCCCTCTCTCCTACTCACTCATTCCACTCCACCCAACAGGCCTCCTTGCTGCTCCTCCAACACACCAAGGCACAGTGCTGCCCCAGGGCCTTTGCACAGGCTGTCCCCTCCCTCAGGAACACTGTACCCCAAATGCCCCCATGCTCACTTCCTTGGGCCTCAGTGTGGCCTCCTCAGGGAAGCCTTCCCTGATCACAGTCTTCAAAGCTACCTCTGCATCTCTTTCCCTTTGTTCTGCTTTATCTTTCTTCAAAGCACTGACCACCACCAGATAGCGTATTGGACGTTTAGCAGTTTAGCTGCTGATGGTAGGTCTTACCCCTCACTAGAACATGACAACTCTGAAGGCAGGGACCAAGTCTCTCAGAGTCACCACTGTACTCCCTGCACACAGTAGGTCCTCAATAAAAACAATAACCATAACAGTAATAGCAGCCAACTTTGACCTAGGAGGAGCTCTGCACCAGGCACCTCTAAGGCCTTTCATGAACTCACCATAACCCTATGAGACAAGCAATAGGATTGTCACCATTTTATAGGACACCACAGCCAGGCTGGGAGAAGGCTCCGCTCGCCGTCCTCTGGACCAATGAGGACCCAGTAGACGCTTCATAAACATGACAAGCAGGCTGTGGCGCGCCAGCAACCCTCTGATCCCAGCGGCCTCAGCGGGGCCGACCGGGTTTAATGAGGAAGGTGCAGCTGCCTGAGCACAGATGACCATCAGAGGAGGTGACATCTGGGAAGAGGGATCATCAGGGACCACAGACACTGGGAGGGAGCAAGCTGGCACGGTGTTAGGGACCCTCGAGCCCGACTCTGTTCTACACAGACGAGCAGTGACTTGTCTGGGGATGCTCAGCAAGTCAAGGGCAGAGGGCACCCAGCACTCCTGACTCCCCGTCTGTGCCGGGCCGCCCTCAGGACACCTGGGAAACGCCCCCAGCACCTCCTCATCCCCGGAGACCTTCAGCTCCTGGGAAAGAAGGGAAATCTGGCCAAGAAGGCAGCTCCAGCGACAAGAGGGGAGTGAAGACGAGAGAAGAGCTTGTAGATTTCTCGGGGGACCTGAACTGGGGCAAATTCTGAGTTTGGTTTCTCCATTTGGAATAAAACTAGGAACAGCTCCCAAGTCTTCGGTTTCCTGCGAGCCTCTGCTCAGACATTACGTTCTCGGGGAGGCCTTCTCCGACCCCCTGTTTTAACCAGGCAAACCCTGCATTCCCCGGCACTCCCCTTCCGTCCCCATCGCGGCCGTCTAACAGCTCCTGAGATCCTATATATTTTAAGGATCTGTTTCTTACCAGAAAGTAACCTCCACGAGAACAGGGTTTTCTAAAAAAAGATCTATATATATAAAATACACACATATCCGTATATATGCGTATACACGCATATATGAAACCAGAGCTGGCATGAAATCCTTCTGCGGGGAGCCCGACACCCCCTGTGCTCAGGACGAGGGAGGGTGCACCGAGCCGCCTGGAAGCCCGCAACTCACGCCTTAGCCCCGTTTTTCAGCGGGAGGGGAGACAAGGTGGACGTGGGGCTGAGGGGATCGGCCCCCAAACCAAGGCACAACCCGGGAAGCCGCTCACCCCCGTGAAGGTCTCTTAGAGACAGGCAGGATGCAGGGATGGAGGAATCCCTCTACACCAGAATTCCCGACACAAAGATCTCTGGTAACCAGATGCCCCCAGAGAGGGGTCCCCCCACACGGGATCCCTCTCCGTGGAAGAGATCCCCAGGAACCGATGCCTCAAGATCTGTCTACGCGGGTCCCCCAGGACTGGATCCCTCACCGGCTGGTGCTCCCAGAACCCCGAGAAAGGGGTCGCCCGACATGGGACCGCCCCCCCCCCCGGCGCGCGCGCTGGCCCCCCAGGGATCCCCAGAACCCGGGGGAAAGAGCTCGCCGGGACTCAGGACCCCTCAGGCGGAGGCCCCTAAACCCCCCAGCCAACGAATCCCGGATTCTGGACCCCCAGCGAGGCATCTGCCCCCGTGCCCGCCCGCCAGGCCCGACCCCGCACCGTGCTCCGGCGGCCGCCGCCTCCGCTTCACCAACCGCGACGCCCGCCGCGCGGTCTGGGGGCCGCCATCTTGGCGCCCACGTGACCGGGCCGGACGGCACCAACGCAGCACCGCAGGGGGGGGAAGCCAGTCAAAGTCTTCGCGGCCGGGGGCGGTCTGGAAGCGCCAGTCGGCTCAAGGTCTAGCGCTAACACTCGCACACTAGGCGGAGTCTAAGGACTTCCCTCAAGGAAGGGGAAGGGAGACTTCCCTCCTTTCCCCGGAAGAGATTCTCTTCGGCCTCCCCCCCCATTCGCCAGGTGGAATGGTTTGTGCCGATTCCGCCCTGTGCTGAGCTGGGGGCCCTGTGTTTTGCGGGTCAGGCTGATGTTTACGTGGAGGGTTTCCCCGTGGGGTGGGGGCTGTGTTGACTCTGGAAGGCCACAGGGCAGCGTGCCAGGTGTGATCGGCCCGAGGATGCTCGGGGGGAAGGAGATAGGCCCAGGGGTGCAGGAAGCAGATATGGAAGCCACACCCAAAAGCAAGGCTGTGTACACAGGGAATCTTGAACCTGCAGACTTGTGAGAAACCGATAGCAGGAGACAAGTCTGCACCTTCCCGCACCTTCTGTGGCTCCTCTGCGCTTGGCCCTGCAGGCCAGAAGTCCAAACTCAGGGTGTCAGCAGGTCATGCTCCCTCCGCAGGTGCTGGGGAGGACCCTTCCTGCCTCTTCTAGCTCCTGGTGGTGGCCAGTAATCCTTGGCGTTCCTTGGCTTGTAGACACATCCCCCCAGTCTCTTCCCTCGTCTTCCTGTGTGTGTCCAAATTTGCCTCTTCCCAGTCGCTGGATTTGGGGCTCACCCCACTCTAGTAGGACCTCATCTTAACTTGATTCCATTTGCAAAGACCCTGTTTCCAAATAAGGTCCCATTCGTGGGTACCAGGGTCCGGACTTGAACATGTCTTTTGGGGGGAACACAACTGAACCCACCAGGCTTTGTTAACATTTCCAATCTCAGCTTGGGCAGCCAACTGGCCCCTGCCCCAACCCAGGCCGAGTGAGAGACTCCCTCTGGGCTCCTGGAGCCCCCTGCTCTGCCTCAGCCGCCAGGGCAGAGCCCAGGCACGAGTTATTGAATGTTTACCCGGCTCTGTCACCCCTGTGGGCTTCTAGTTTGTCAAAACGTGAACCACTGCTAAAAGACGGCAAATTAAATAGGAATTAAATGATGCTTTCTGCAAGTGGAGCCAGAGAGAGGAAGCAATTTGCTCAGCAGTGTGGGATGTGAGCGCAAAGTTGAAGACGGTGCCTGATGTGTAGGTCTGCGCCTGGGATCCGAACCCGCAAACCTTGGGCCACTGAAGCGGAGCTTGCAAACTTAACCTCTACGCCACTGGGCCAACCCTGAGATCGATAATGTTTAAATGCAATTTTTTTCTTTTTAAAATTGACATTTCTGTTGAGATCATTGTAAAGTGACATGCAGTTGTAATAAAGAACACAGAGGATGCAGGGTCCCCTTGCCCCAGCTTTCCCCAATGGTAGCTGGGTGCAAAACACACACAAACCCCTAGTATAATATCATGACCAGGATGTTGCCGCTGATACGATACACAAATCTCATTCAGATTTCTCAAGTTTTACTTGTACTGTGCTCATTTATGTGTTTGTGTGTCTTAAATTCTATACGATTTATCGCTGTGTAAATTTATGTGTCCATACCACAATGATAATACAAAACAGTGCCAACACCGCAAATGTGGCAGGCTGACTAATGACCCTCCCCAAAGACAATCCTTAGCGCCTGTGAATATGTTATTTTATGTGGTATAAAAAGGACTTTGCAGGTGGGATTAAGTTAAGGCCCCTGAGATGGGGATGACCCTGGATTCCCCGGGGGGCCCAGTGTCATCACAGGTCCTCATCAGAGGGAGGAGGAGGGTCAGAGGCAGAGAGAGACGGGAGACGCTGCGCTGCGGGCTGTGCAGACGGAGGAAGGGGCCCCGAGCCCAGGACGCGGCCTCTAGAAGCTGGAAAAGGCAGGAGACGCTTCTCCCTGGAGCCTCCAGGAGGACCAGCCCTGCTCACACCCGGAATTTAGCCCGGGAAGGCCCATTTCAGACTTCTGACCTCCAGAGTGGCAAAATAATACATTTCTGTT